CTGAAATCTTGCCACCAAGTTACAAGAGAGGTCCTGGTAGACCAAAGAAACTCAGAAGAAGAGAGCCAGATTAGGAAACTCAAACAAGGTGGCAAAGGACAAACACAAGCCATAGATGTAAGAGTTGTTTGGAATATGGACACAATAAAATGACGTGTAAGAAAAACAAACAGTTAGCAGTTCCTACTGAAGGTGATGTTGCCACTAATGTTCATACTGAAGGTGATGTAGCTACTGATGTTGCCACTGATGTTGCCACTAAAAGTACAGTTGCTACTGATGTTGCCACTGAAGGTCAAGTTGCTACTGCAATATAAAAAAGGGTTAGTATCTCAAACTGAACACAAACTTTGCTTTTATGCCATGTACACTATTTCAATGAAATGTCACATTTTTTTTGGTTGCAGGCTAGTCCAACTGTTACAAAGATAGGAGGAAGCACTTCTAAGAAAACAAAGCTCACTGCTACAAAGAAAACAAAGCTCGCTGCTACAAAGAAAACAAAATCTACTCCACCAAGTCAAGCAAGTACTCATACCCCTCAAGCACCAAGTCAAACAAATGAAGATGCATCTACTCAAGCACCAACTATTGCCCCTGAAGCACCAACTCAAGCTACTGAGGATGCATCTACTCAAGCAACTTCTCATGCCCCTTAAGCACCAACTCAAACAAATGAAGATGCATCTACTCAAGCACCAAATCAAGCTACTGAGGATGCATCTACGCAAGAAACTTCTCATGCCCCTGAAGCACGAACTCAAACAAATGAAGATGCATCTAGTCAAGAACCAACTCAAGCTATTGAGGATGCAACTACTCATGCTCCTGAAGCACCAAGTCAAACAAATGAAGATGCATCTACTCAAGCACCAACTCAAGCTGGGGTAAACATGTCACAAAATTCTGTTAGCTCAGATGAGGCAATGAGGATGTATTGTGATATAAATCCTGATGAGTTGGAAGCTTTGCTGAATGATGATGAAATACTAGATATTGTACCATTAAGCATTGAAACTAGTCCTGATCCTAGTCCTGCAAAAAAAACTAAGTCTGGTCCCAAAACCTTTATAGGTAAATGTCCAAAGGTATCAAAGTCTCTTAAACCCATTGTCAAACAAGTATCTACTCCAGCCACCAACCCAGCCATGAGTGACCCTGTAAGTTTCTCTGTTGTACTGATATATGCTTTTTTGGTATGCTGTCAAACAATTATGTGACTCTTTATGTTCATAACAGGTGAAAATGATGATATCACCAAAGAAAAAGAAGAAGATTGTTGCATCTCCAAGTAAAAAGAGTGACAAAATTAAGACACTGAAGACAAAGGATATAAAGGGGTCTGGAAGGGATCCAGATGACCCAGTTGTAATTCCTGAAGAAGAAACAACTATTGACAATGCTTGTGGGAAGAACAAATGGAGTGACATCAAGAAGAGCATGACTCAATGAAGACTCATGATTACACAAAACTGTTTTGGTTACACCTAGTGTCTTGTTATGTATTATGAACAAAACAAATGTTATGTACTATGACTCAAACAAATGTTATGTACTTTGTACTATGTTTTGTTATGTATGAACCAATGAATTAATGGTATATTTTGTATGTTGAATCTAATTACAGTTATATTATGAATCTAATTCCAAGCATTATGAATTCTATTCTGTTTTCCAAAGTTTTTTATATCAAAATTTTGCAATTTATTTCAACAACATTCATACCAGACATTTCAGCCAATTACATGACCATAACAAATTGCCTTGTACACAATTTATATCAAAGTTTTGTTATTTATTATAAAGTTTTGCAATTCATTACAATACACTTTTAAGCCAAGTACACAATCATAACAAAGTGCAAATTACTTGAAATTCATTACATAACACATTTCAGCCAAATACATGCCACAACTAAATACATTAAGCCAAATACACATTTCATTTCATTACAACCATAACAAACTGCCTTGTCCTCATTAAGCCAAATACACTACTCATTACAACCATAACAAAGTGGTGCTGAAACATTAAGCCAAATTAACATTTGATTACAATACAAAACGATTCATCAATTATAATTGAAAACAAAATACACATTTATCAAAATGGACACAACAAGAAATATCATCTTCAATTTTCCATGGAATTCCTCATTTTTCAACTTGTTCTTCAATTTTTTCTTCTTCTTCCTTTCATCTTCATACAAGGACTTCATATAACCTAAAGATGACAAGCCATGCAACTCTAAGTTCCTAATGACACCATCTTCATTTCCATATTTTTCACCAATATCTTCATCCCATATAAAGAGATTATAGGTTTCATAACTACTCCAATTAGGACATATCCAAAACAACATACCCTTGTTTGTTCCATTTTTGCATTGATACGATACCATCCGATAATGACATCCATAAAGCCTCCAAACTCGAGATTTCACTGAAGCAGACGACATCACGTTTTCTCTGAAGAAGATAAGTGTGAAAGAACAAAACAGTAGAAAGTGAACGAAGAGAACAGAACGGCAGAGGGTGAACGACCATGAAGACAATAATGGAAAATAGAGAATGAATGGAGAAAGGGGATGAAATTAAGGTTCACTAGAAAGGGGATGAAATTAGGGTACTACTTGAAACAATTGGGTTTATGCCACCTAATACCACCTCATTTAAAATGAAACAATAAAATTTACCCACCTGTCATGCCAGCTCAACAGTCGTTAATGATTTTTAACGTGGGGGACCAATTCCTCAGACGAAAAAATATTGCAGGGACCAAAACTTGAAGGAAAATATTTGAGGGACTAAAATCGAAATTTGGAAATTTTGGAGGGACTACAAACTTATTTAACCCATATTTATATGCACGCTGACAAATACTTATGCAAATTCTATCCTACCACTTAAGGCTATGGTAGATGTACTTTATGGTTTGGACAAATGAAAAGTACAATCATTTCAAAGTAAGGGTAAATTAGTAAAAGTGTTGTATTATTTTACTACATTATTGCATTTTTTAATCTGTGTGCAATAACCTTAAACGACAATCATTTTGAAACAGAAGAAGTATAACATTTAATATCATGTGATTCTAGACACACATTTTATTGGGCTATTACGCAAATACTTTAGAATTTTGCACAACTCTACATGCCACCTACATGTGCAATTATCGTTTGCAGCTTCGAGAAATATGCCATCATTTGTTGCATTAATGAAGGAAAACACATTCGTATAATGATTTTCCATAGCTAAGGGGTGGACACTTGGACGCTTACTTGTCAGGTGGGACCGCAGCTAATTATGCGCCTTCATTCAAGGGACTCTCCTACTATTTTATACGCCAAGGGAAAGAGCATCGCCCAACGTCATCCTCAATCAAGGGGATCATCAGCGGAGCAGGAGGCGTATGAAGAATAGAAAAACACAAGAAATGAAGTTTGAATTGAGTTTTTAAAAATTAAAACAATACGACACGTTGCTTATCCTGGTTCACTTTGAACTCAAAGCTACTCTAGTCCACCTTTCAAGGTGATTTCGCCTCTCTCAATCGAGGTCTTAATTCACTAATAAAAAATGATTACAATTCACGAAGACAACTATCAACGTCTTCTTGAGATCAAACCACAACTCAGTTTCTCAAGGAAATATAACTCTAAACAATTATACAATGTGTTTGAATTTGCTTCTAACAAACCATATCACAACTGTGATGTTTACACAAATTTTAGCACAATGAATGGTTTTAAGAGATAAAAAGATATGAAGATTTTTTAGCACTTGTTCATATGTGTGTGTATAACTTTATTTTTGAAAGGTTGTTGATTTGAGATATAATGACCTTTCCAAAAATGCAGATTTTGTTCCATGTAATGATGTTCCAGTCTTTACTTTCTTGATCCTTAATGATTTTCCATAAATATGATATCGGATCTACAGATCATCGGAGTATCTTGTACTTGAGTGCTTGATCTTATAACTTCAAAATAGATGAGTGTGTTGAACTTCTTTGTTCTTTTAGAACTTTACTTATCAAAGTATAACCTGCAGCTTGATGCTTTCAGAAGATTTAACATCAGAATTTCTTTTACTTGCGTGTTACTTTGTTTTGCTTCTGAGTTTCTTATACGCATATTCCCTTTAGAGCTTCATAGTTGTATTCAGTCATTATCTTTTTTGTTTTTCATCAGAACTTCTCTGTATATCCAATCAAACGATTAGAGAGCATAATTGTTCTTCACAATAATCATGTAATTGTTATCATCAAGACTATGAATTAGATGTAGAACCAAACTATGTTCTACGCTTTTTTTTTCAGAAAAAAAATTGTATTTTTTTAATTTTTCGAAGAAAAAAAATTCAATTTTTTTTCCGACAAAAAATCTATTTTTTATCCAATTTTTTTTTAATTTTTCGGAACAAAACATTATCAGTTTTTTTTCAAAGTTAAACTTTTTATTTTCTGGAAATGTTTTTCCAGTTTTTTTTAAATAAATTTCTTTATTTTCTGAAAACAACAAAATTTAAAAAAAAAATATTAAAAAATAATTTATATAATTAAATCAATTTAAAATTGAAATTAAATTATTTTAGTTAAATGGTTCAGTTTATTAGCCATTTAAGTGGTTCAATTTTTTTTTATAATTCAATACAATTAAGTTCAAACATACAATTCAATTAATTATATTTTGAACACCCAGCGATATTTTGAAAAAACAAAACAAAGAAAAAAAATGAAAATATGTTTAAAAACATAGAAATTCATTAATATATGCATTAGAATAATCCCGTGATTCAATTTTTTTTACTTTTCATTAAACTTAATCACATATCAATAGAAGCTTGGGCGATAGATAAAGTGAAATTATAAAATGAGAAAGAAAAAAAATAATTTTTTTTGGTAAATGTATATAATCAAAAGCAATTTTGGTATTATTATTATTATTAACAAATTTGAATTAACTTTAGATGTAATCAAATATTTTAGAGATGTGATATCTACTTAGCATTGAAATCATCGTCGATTAATATGTTGCTCGACTTGATATCTCGGTGTACCACCTTTGGCTCAATTGCTTCGTGCAAATACGCAAGCCTGAAACAAGTACATTTCTTTATACAAGGATTACTAAGAAAACAAAAGGTGTAGTTGCAGAGAGACTCACGCTTTGGCCGTGCCAAGGAGAACCTTGACACGTGCTTCCCACGTAAGATAGCCATGGTGACGCATAGCTCCATGAAGCCATTGTTCCAAGTTTCCATTATTGACATACTCTAGACTAATATCCTGAAAATACATTTGTTTTAATGAAGGTAAGCACATTAACGAAATAGCAAAGCAATTCATATTACGAATCATAATTACCATTTATGCTGTGAGCAATTAATTAATTTAGCTAAGCAGATTATTCATATTCATATATATGTCAAGATGATACTTAATACAGTCGAAGTAATTGAGAATAAGGATATACCTCGACGCAGAATCCCAAAAGGCGAACCAAGTTTTTGTGTCTGACATGGCCAATAGCTTCAACTTCTACTCTAAATTCTTTCTCTGCTTGACCACTGTTATACCAACAACAAAATCACAATGGAAAGTTGAGCTTCAGCATAATAATAAGGGAACGCAAAAGCACTTATCATAAAATTACTTACGTATAAGCTATTTCATTAACAAAAACTAAAATTTAGTCAAAATGTTTTCTTAAACTACTTTGGAGTACAAAATAAGTTGAAAGAAACTTATGATCATGTCCATAAGCTCTTACAAGCAGTCTCACAAGTGCTTATGTTAGCAGATAAACTCGAATAAGTGAACTCAAAAAACTTCGAAGAAGAAAAGAATTACAGTGGTTCAGCATTATAATGGAACTTACATATTATTGAGTATCTTTTTAACTGCAACTGGACTCCCATTGATCAAATGTCCCTTATATACCACTCTATAACCCCCTTCACTGAGAACATTTTCTTTCGCGAAACGGCTTGTAGCAAGTTCAAGATCCCTCAAAGTAAACCAATGACCCCAACCTAGGTGTGAGAATTCCGGAAGACCAGATAGAGGCGAAGGAGCTGTTATAGGATACGAAGAAGAGGACTACTTATACACAGTAACCGTCCCAGAACTACCCTCTTCACCGGATTGAGAATGCGACCCACCACCATCTTTCTCCATGAATTGATGAAACGACTCCGAATGACTACTACTATCACCATTCTTCATCTTCTTCCCTAAATCTAAATGAACCATAACCTTATCAGATTCCTTATCACTAGACTTATCATGAATGGTTAAAAGTATTCCATCTCGCGGCGCAAATCCATTCGTCGACACTTGCTCAACCCTAACTTCCTTAATTTCTTTCGACACATTCGGTATCTCAGTAACATGAATATTGTTTCTAGCTCTCCTAGATTTCTTCCTTGAACTAAGACAAATTGAAACCACAAACAGAATCACTATAATTGGCAAAGCAACAACAATTGCAATCACTTCCCAAACCTTTACACCAAAAACAATCTTCTTAGACAATTCAGGATTCAAATTAGCACCCATTTCTCAAAGATAATACCAAACCTACTAAACATACAATAATCAATTAATAACTAATTCATAAAACACAATAATTAAAATAAAAAAAACTAACCTCAACTGAAAAACCTTGAAATTCCAGATCTCAGAAACAGCAGTTTCATAAGTGAAGAGACACAAACATAGGAAGAAACAAAAATAAAAACAGTTATAGATCTTTAAGAGAGCATAAATCTAGGAAGTTGTCAGAAAAAAACAAGAGTATCTATACGAGGAGTTGAAAATGTGAGTGGTTATGAATGAATGAATCTAAGATAAGATGGAGCTATCTATGTAAAGAAGAACAAAAACTGTGATGAAGAAGATGAAAAGGTAGAAGAAGAAAAAGAAGAAGAAACGATGGAGTTATCAGTGGTTGGTAATAGATACAACCTTACAACGCATGAATATATGTGTATATAAACAAACAAAAACATAAATTTCATAAATTCAATTCTGTAATGTAATTGTAAGGTAGTAGTAATAAGGTTCTTGGGATTTTTCTTAGAGCTTGATATGAATGTGACGTAATTAATTATTTTTTTCCTTTTTGATTTGATGATGGGGTGAGAGGTGAGCTGTGAAATTGTTATTACTATCTATCAACTGAACTGGAAGGAAAAAAAGTACTGTGTGTGTATGTATGTACTGTTGTGTTGTTCCTTGAAACTCTAGAGACTGTATCTATGTGTGTTGTCACGTGTGAGGTTGTTTTTTTATGATAAATTTGCCTAATCATGCTTAGCTGTCGTGTTAGTAGACTAATTGGGGAAGTAATAATGGTGAAAGTTTAGTGTATTTTTATAAAAATAGAGTTTTATTTATGTAAAAGGATACTGTGGGGAAAAATATAGTTGTTGAATCTTAAGTATGTGTTGTTTTGTTATTTTATATTTGTTAAAAGAATTTAATTTTAGAATTTTAATGTAATTTGTAGGTAAATTAGATGAGATTAATTCATATGCTTTGTTATACCATCATATCGCAATCATTAACAACCGTTATTCTTTAAATAATTAAAATAAAAATTAAATATTATTAAAATTTTAACGGTTATGATTAACCGACCTTATAAAATTTATTTACACTATTAAGTTCAAATTACATAAACATCCAACTTTCATTTTCATAAATATAAATAGAAATATGTTAGTGTGGGACACCATATATTTATACAATATATACCATTTTATTATTTTGTAATTTTGTAATTTTTTTTCACATGTCACATTAATAGTTATAAATGATGTGTCTTTTTATACGTTATTAAAATACAATGTCAATTTTTAGATGTTCAAATAACATTAATCATACACGACTATAATGTAAGGACAACAATTCTCTTTAAATTATATTAATTGTTTTAGTTTAGACAATATTGATATAAGTCTTTAGATTTATTTTATAAAAGATTAATTGTCGATTATGAAACAAAAGTGACAAATAGAAATAATATCTGATTGTCGGGACACAGTTTTTCATGTTTGGCATTTTTATTTAAAATGGTTTTAAGGGTTGTTGTTCCATAGTTTATGCGGAGCGAAAAATACTCGAGCGTACAAATGCTCGTAATACAACAAAGTCGTTACCAAAGTTTATTTTTGAAAGGGAAAATGTCAATAAAATACTAAAAGAATATAAATATGATTGTCGCAACCAAATTCAAGTTTTTGAGTCGATTATGTGCAAGGAAGGTATTAGTACTCCACACATCTATTGTAGTCAACGAGAACTATTTAGTTAGTTTTGTGAATAAATAAGAGGGTATGGGTAAGTAAAACAAGGGGAGAGGCCCATATCTGGAGGCTCAACGAATCCAAGGTCAAATGGGAAAGGTTAACTCATGCAGAGCCACCAATTTTGCATACTAGGGAGTCAATGCATGATCAGGGGCCAGGGATCCAAGGGCACAGGAGATGACACGTGTCCCTCAGTATAGTGCTTCGCACATGAATAAAAAATGGGATCAAACGAAATCCTCTCATTTTTCAAAGATATTTCTCTCTCCTTAGTCAGGTGCTCTTCCTCCTCTAACAGGTGACCACCCACCCCTCCCACTTTCACTACTAAAAATATGACATTTGAGAAAAGTTCTTTATATCAAGTATAAAAATATATGATATAAAAAATATTTGTCAAAAGATTTTACATCAGACCTTTATTTTCAATGATATGAAAAATATTTGATTTAGGGAAAAATATAACACGGTGGTAGTTTGGTAAATAAGATGGATAAATAAAAAATTGGATGTTACATCGGGTTAATGTCCCAAGCGATATAAAAGCTTCCAGTGATAAAAAATAAAAACACGGTGGTTTTTTTGTAAATAAGGTGGATTTTTTTTATAAAATAAAAAATTGGACGTTACATTGGTTTATTGTCCCAACCGATGTAAAAGCTTCCAGTAATAAAAAACAAAAAAACGGTGATAGTTTTGTAAATAAGGTGAATTTTTTATTGGTCGTTACATCGGGCCAATTGGCCAACCGATGTAAAAACCTCCTCTTGTTTTCATAAAACCATAATCCTAATATTTTGTCCTTTCACTTTTACATTCTCTCAAACCTTCTCTCTCGCCTTTGTCTCTGTCTCCTTACGAACTCCATCTTTTTCACCTCCATCTCCGCCTTGCCTTCGTAAGCCCTCCGAACCAACTTCGGTGTAGCTCATCTCGACTGGATGTGACTTCTCTAGCGGCTTCTCCAGCGAATAACTCTGCCACCACCGTTTCTTTCATTCTATTTCAAAACCCAAACTAACACTCTCTCAGAGCCACACACAGAGAAATAATTAGAGAAAGAGAGATATGTGTGATAAATCAGAGCTCTTTGTTCATTGGTGCGTAATCGTATATACTATTTTGTCGTTTCTTCTCATTTTATTTTTTTCATTCTCATTTTTATGTTTATTTGGTCTCGATTCACTTCATTTTCTTTTTTCTGCTTTGTTCAACAATTTTTCATAGATTTAGTTTAATTTTTCATATATTCAATTTAATTTTTCAATAATTTTTGCATGAATAGAAGTGTTTTTAGCGTTACTATGAATCAGTGATTCGAATTTTTGTTGATTTTGTATAAATTAGTAGGATTGAGCTTATAATGCAGTGATTTGAAAGTTCTATGAGTTTTGATTTTTGTTGGAATATGATTTTGATGATATTGAAATTGTGATGTGGTACTATATTTTATAGGTTATACGTGCTGGCATTTTGCGTTTTGGGGTGCTTGAAGTATTTCCAACTAGTTTTGCTTTGGTAGACGACACTTATATGTGTGTATGTAGGATTAGGATGAGAGTATTTTTAGAGCTCCATTGGCTCTGATACCTAGTTGTTACCGCACCGAATACCTGAAAAAACAAAGAAAAGAAGAAATAGTAAAACATGTGAGGTATCATAATTTTTGTAGGAAGAGTAGTTGTTGTTAGATGATTGTTTTGTGTGTGTAGTACTTGCTTAAATGACAGTGAGCTTTGGGTTTGGATAGAACATGATTCTTTAAGATTTTAATGTCTTCTTTCTTCCATGTTTCCTGTTTTCACTTTCACTAATTTTCATTCCATATTTTCTTTGTCATAATTGCTTGTTAAACGAGTCTTCCATCTCTTTGTTAGTAAGTTAACATGAAAATGGATTTTTAAGTCTCACAAAGCTTTGTTAATTTGGTTTGACCTATTCTAAAAACTCATGGTTGCCTGGGTTATTTTAATTATTGTGTTTGTATAATATAATAAAATGCTTTCCAATCATAATGGAGACGGTTATTGGCCTTAACATATGTATTTAGCTGAGGATGATTCCCCCTTCAATATTAACCGGATGAATGACTTCATCTTTGCAATCACATACATATTTAGTATTTATCATGCTTTTACTAAATTGTTCAGATAGAATGAAAATGAGCGAATTAGTTTTGTTATCTGGGTTACGAAGAAAGTTTGCCCATAGATACTAGATACCATTCAAAATCAAACATCATAGAATCCTTTGACTTATGTAGGTGACCCTAGTTACAAATTTTATATATATATATATATATATATATATATATATATATATATATATATATATATATATATATATATATATATATATATATATATATATATATATATATATATATATATATATATATATATATCTGATTTGATGTTATTATTTATTGTCAGCAAATGTGATTTTTGTGTTGTCTACCGAAGCTACAACTCATCTACTTGTGGATTTCATATTGGTAATTCAAGTGTGGGAAAAGACTTATAAATGGTTGGATATTTTTGTATTTTTGTTATTGTAGTGCATCGTGTAAACTTCCTTATAATTTTATAATACAATTGTTCATGTTGTAACTCAATTATTTATTTTGAAGAATATAGTGCATCATAGATTTGGTGGAATGAAATTAGTTTGGTTAAAAAATATGAAAATAGCTACCTAAATATAGTCTGTGTAATGTTGAGAAAATATGAAAAATTAGGTACCAAAAAAATTACAGGGAATCCGCTGAAAAATAGTCAATTTTTTTCTAAAAATTACAAACATTTTACATCGGACAATTAAGGCAACTGATGTAAAACACATCTTTTACATCAGACCAATATGGCCACCTATGTAAAATCATATCTTTTATATCGGACCTAACTTATAATCGATGTAAAATATTGCGTATATTTTATTAAAAAAAAGTTGTATCTTTTTCACATCAGACCTAACTTATAATCAATGTGTTAATGTCTTTGATTTACTACATCACTTGACTTTACATCGGACCCTGAACCGATGTAAAAAGTGTTTTTTTCCCGATGTAAAAAGTCTTTTCTGCACTAGTGTTTCTAAGATCAAACACCTTTTTTCCAAAAATCTATGAATATCCTCAAGAACATCATGAGTGTCCAAACCTAGAATTCATGACAACGTCCTCAAATCTAGAAATAATCAACATAAAACTTATTACAAATCAACTTCTAAATATGAATCCAAAGCCCA